GGAAAAGGAGAAAAAAAAAAAAAAAAAAAAAGAAACATAAAGATTAGGAAGGTCCCGCTGAAATTTACTCGGACAAGGTAGTAATCGGCATAGTACACCGCCGCTACAATCAGGGCCCTTAATCAGGCTTCGGTCTTTCGTGGGTCCCTTCAATTTAGCGCCAAGCTTTTGACAGATACATACTTTTTTCTTTTAAAACATCAAAAAGAAACAAACGCTCTCACCTTAGACCATAAACTCCGTGAAATCTCCTCTTCCTCCTCAAATCTCTCTTGAACCACTTCGCCGCCACTGTTTCTCCCGTCGCCGTCCTCCGTCCACCGCTCGCCGATCGATCAATGGACGGAATACTATTTCGATGATGACCAGAAGAAAACGCTCCGTCTTCTTACCGGAAAGCTAACCGGCCGGAGGATCTTGAGAGTAAAGTGATGTGGAAAATCCTTATCGGAAACGATCCGCACTCAGCAAGATGATCGGCGTGTGGATCGGAGAATGGCGGCAAGAGAATGGTGTATATATCTACTTCCCGTTGATGTGTTTTGTTTTTCTTACGACTTAGTCAAAACTTTTATTTTGACTGTATGACGACTAAGTCATCGCTCTTATGACAGTTTTTCCTATAATTAATTTTGGTTTAATTTTGTAATATTTATTAGAATAATCCATTTTTTATTTAACTTTTAACATTAAATAAGTGTTTTAATTTACAAAATAATTTAAGTTTTGCCCTTTATTTAATTTTTACTAATTTCTCCACTCATTTCAACAAAAATAAATAATTATTTAATTTTCGAACTACACCCAAAATTTCATCTAAAATATAAGAACTCATAAAATCGAATTAAAAAAAAATATATTATTGGAAGAGTTTTGCTAAATTTATAATAGACAAATATTTTATATTCTATGTGATAATATTTTAATAAAAAAAAGTTGAAATAAACATATTAAAATAGCAAATTTTACAAGTTTAAGTCTAAATAAATGCTTTTACACTTACCAAAATCTAAAATTTATATAAAAATTAGTTTTTAAATATAAATAAAAATTGCAGCCATTTATTCTTTATATATTTTTAAATAACTATATTATATTTTAATAACAATTGGACTGTAATTGCGATGTCCCATGTTGGTTGGGAAGGAGTACAAAACACCCTATTTAAGAGTATGGAAATCTTCCCCTAGCATACGCGTTTTAAAGCCTTGAGGGGAAGCCCGAAAGGAAAAGCCAAAATAGGACAATATCTACTTACTAGCAGTAGATCTGAGCCGTTACAAATGGTATCAGAGCCAGACACCAGACTATGTGCCAGCGAGAAGGCTATTCCCCAAAGGGGTAGACACGAAATGGTGTGCTAGTAAGGACGCGGGGCCCAAATGGGGATGGATTTGACAAGGGTCTCACATCGATTGGAGAAAGAAAGAGTGTCAGCGAGGACGCTGGGCCCCGAATGGGGTGGATTGTGATGTCCCACATTGGTTGGGGAGGAGAACAAAAGATGGGTATAGAAACCTTCCCGTAACAAACGTGTTTTAAAGCCTTGAGGGGAAAGCCCAAACAATATAATATCTGCTAACGGTGGATCTGGACCGTTACTGTAATGAGAAACTTAGAATGTTTTCGATAAATATTTTCAAATTCAGTCCCACGTATTGTGATATGTTCTTATCCTTATTGTATTAAGTGACAATCACACCATCAAAATTTGATTTTTATAAAGGTTAGCTTAACATATTATCAAGTGAATTGCCACATGTCATGGTCGTACGTTTTCAACCGTGTGACATCATGATTTTGGCACACTTACAACAAGCCTACGAACAACCATGACACCATGTACACCCATGTCACGAGAAGATCCATGTAAAACCCATATAACCCTTTTTCGATCTAATCACGATGACAAAGTGGAAACGAGCATAAGCCTAATTTGTTCATAGACAATCAACCTATTCCAATCAAACTGCACCGGGTTTTGTATATGCCCTAGAAAAAAGGGAATTTGGGTCAAAAGCTCGAGTCCTAAATTAGAGTCGATAAAAGTAATATGAGGCTGATTCAATACTCTTCCAACCCAATTTATATATCATTGAAGGACCTATAAGTCATTTTGCCCGCATCATAAAAATGTAACAAATCCACCACATTAACCATGGTTAGTTTACCTCACAAAACTAACCTATGGTTTAATTTTGTATTCTCAAAATACAAAAAGGCAACCACTCCAATTTTTTTTATAAGCCTAGAGACTATTTAGGGGAGGATAAGATAAGCACCTTACAAAACAATATTTTGTTTTCTCAAACCCACATGCCACGTAAGCAAGACGATGACGTTGAACCAATCACATTCAAGTGGGTCCTACATGCTGACGCAGCATAAATCCAACAACTCTTACTAATAATTGCTTCCCTTTATATATATAAATTTGATCATAACCCCGGTTTCGCTTCATGTATTAGCAATACCACAAACGAACAAAGTTGCTGATTGGGGAACCCGCCGATTCCGATCCATTTTCCTCCATGGCTATAGCGACCTCCAGCTTCACCTTCATCGCTTCTTCGTACTCTTCTCAGTCTCCATTTCTCTGCCGGTCTAGGTTCTCGGAGTCGGAGTTCGTTGGTCATGTCTCTCACCGTGGCTCTGGAGCTGATAGGCTGACTTTCTTGAGGAAATGGTAAGGTTTGAATACTGTGGACTTTTGTTTTGTACTGTAATTTTGTGTTTGAGGTGAGTTGAAATGGAAACTCGTTGAATCTAATAATCTCGAACGAACATCAAGAACTGGTTAATTGTCTGTTGGCATTGATTGCTTGATATAGGAGTTTCTTAAACTGTCGATAGCTGGATTTGCGTTCTTCTGGTGGTCTGTTTTCTGGATAATGTGAAAAATAGAAATGTCGGCTATCCAGTTGACTGTCGGGGACGAACAAAGCACGGTTTTGAGCTTTTGAGTTTGGCGCAGAAATTATTAGGTTCGTTAGAACGTGAATATATGACTAATTTTGTGAAGCAATGGCTTTTAATTTAGTTTATACTAGCTTCTTGGTTCGCTTCAGGACTTGTAAAGATGTTATGTCGCATAATGCTATTACTTGTATTTCTAAGCATAGGGAGTGCTTGGTATTGATACGCATCAGAGCCCTGGGCTGAGTTTTTCTTATACTCCCCGCATACCTACGAAGATCAGTAATATGGATTCCCTTTGATACTTAATTATTAGAAGTTGACCGTTAGTTGCGTGACGGAAAGCTGCTGATTATCTGTGATGTTTTTTCTTCTTCAAAATACAATCTAGGCTTGCTCCATTTGTATATTTTACGAGCTTGGATAGACGAGCATTAGGAAATGGGAGAATCTATAATTCTAATTGCTCTGCGATCTTATATATGAAGTAATATCAATTAATTTGGTTGTTTACTTTTTGTCTATTTTAATTATCAGTCGCCAATTTAGACACCTTTTGATTTTCACCTGTTAGTTTAGCTCTTGCTCTTCATTCTTGTTCACTGAAACATGCAACTCATGTTTCTCATGGCTTTCTCTTGATTTATATAACTCAACCGAATGCTTATGTCCTATTTGTTATATTGATCGAAACTTATCCAGGAATATCCTGAGTGCATCAACCAATCGTTTGAATGCTGTCAGTCCAACATCATTGGTCAGTTACATGCTTCTTAAATCTGTTATTGAAATAATATTTCTTGTGATTCCTCCATGCTGGACTGCTTACTATTTCTGCATGATAATGCAAACACGTTAAAGTTTTCTTACATTTTTTCATCCTATAACCCCATCCAAGTTTTGATTTATAGTCAATTACTCCTCACCTTTTAGCTCTCTCCTCTCTTTAAATAAAATTTTTTGACGAGAAATATCTTTCATTGAGAAAAATGGTGTATGAAAAATGGGGGAGGGGATAATGGAAATATATATATGGAATACTAATTAATTTCATCCTTAATTGATTTCCAGAACATTTGAAAAGCGGTTTTTATTATTAAAACAGTGACCAAATTGTTTTGTACGCATCATTGTTTCTTATTCTTTACAGTTGGAGCCAGAACTTTTAGTTTTGTCTTTCCATTCCTGTTGTTTCACTTTGCCTTTGTTTGGTTTGGTCTAGTTTTTGTGCAGTCCATTGTATGTCCTTTCATTTGAAAAAAAGCTCAGGCATCCTTTTTTTACTTTTTATCTTGCCATTGATGTCCTTTTTTTTTTTTTTTTTG